ATATATATATATATGTAATATTGTAATCATATATAATATTATATAAAATGGTAAATATTAATAATAAATATTTATAATAATAAATAAATGCTTATAATAAATAAAATATAACTGCAAAAACAGTTAAAGCATAAGCTGCTTGAACGTGAGCCGAGCGTTAATTATAATAAAAATGTATCGCCGTTTCGGGTGGGAAAAGAATTTTCTGACGGACTGCTCCAAAAAAACTGACACGATTCCCATATGCGAACACATTACACGGTCGTTGCATAATATTACGTAAGCGTCTTGATCCCTACTGACGTGTTTTAATTGCAAGCGTTACTACTCGCACAGTGTACCGAAAGTGACGCGACGGTGCCCGAACTTACTTTCGACACACCTGGTACATCGGCGCTGCCTTTCATTCGGTTCAATGAATGTAATCGTTTTTTTCTCTCAAGTTTCGCATACCTGTTTATTGCCGAGTTTACCGGCTGATGAGACGAGCGCGCCGCAATTAATGCGATGTTACACGAGGCAATTAATCATACCCGAATTGTTGGTTGCTGTTTAACGATGATGTACCCTTGTTACGAGATGTCTATTAAGAGATAATATAATCTTGTACCGACAGTTTTTAGAATGATCGTAAACGAGCTGTAATGCATATTTCATGACCGCATGAAACATTATCTTTTTATTGCTTCATACGAAAGTGACGATTTCTGTACTACGCTGTGAAAGACAGCCTCTGATAGTGTTTTCAGATCATTTCGACCGCGATTATTAATCGTAACTTTCGTCGTTCGCGCGAAGTATTTATAGATATTTATGTGTTAACTTTTGGACGCGTAATAACACGGTTTTTGATACTCAACAGATAGGCTTATATTGCATAAGGACCGCGTAAAACTGGTACTTCACATTTCGAAATACGATCACCTCCGAATTGTTCCCCTTTAATTATTGTTTTACACAATGTTTGCGTATATATATATATATATATAACTTCTTTCGTTGTATAATTTTCCACGTATTTCCGACTTCGTAAACTTATACAGTATAATATTTCGGAAAAGACAATAAATATTAAATAGTAACCACGTTGTACATCTACTCGTATATTGCAAATATCGTAGATACAGAATTCTAAGAAACCAAATTTTCGTTATTAAATAAAAATATACGAAGTTAGTTAATCAAGTGAAAATTACAAATGTATAATTTCACGTTGTACCGATTTTTATTAATGATTGCTAAAAGTGTTCGTTATCTTCGATCTGCAGAGAACTCAAAGTAGTAAGCTGCTGGCTGCAGTAGTAGCACTCAATAACATGTCAGGCAGTAACGCTTTAGTTTCTTCCTTATGATATACAGTGAGTGAAAAATAGATTTCCAGATTTTGCGACGTAAGTGATTTCTTCGTCAAGCAATCGATCAACGAGTTGATGCTCCAGAATATTATATCGCATGATTAAATATTTCTTTCCTACGTTGTTATAAAAATAAATCTAGCGTTCCTTTTTAAGTCTCCCACGCATTTCATAGCGCACGTTTTAAATAACTGTACGTTAACTTGTCAGAAATACATGTATCAAACTTTGCACAAACGTAAGAAAGCGTAGGCATCTACTCCCGAATTGTCCTACTTGAACTCCGAGCATGATAAATTTCTGTTAAATTAATTTCTAGCCTTTAGTATCAGCGAGTCCAAAGCGTTTTCGCGTGGTCAGTACTCTCGTGGCCCGATTTGTACGACAGTGCGTACTATACATACAAATACTATGAATATCCGCGGTTGGACTGCCGGGTCATGACACACAGGTTGCGTGTGTGCACACGCACAGCGACCGTTGCGTAAATCGCGGAGGACGGATGGCGTCGTAACGGCAACTTGCGTAACTGGGACCAACGATGAATCGGAGCCCACGGATGAACGTGACGAGCGATCGATTTGTCCAGCTCTGTGACATTGATCGACGCGATTCGCGACGCTTTTACTTATTACACCTACGCACCGTCCTGTACGCAGCGCGACGTAATCGGTTGTACGTCGGCGGGCCCAGAGATTACGGGGGCACTGGCCCCGCCGTACATGCTTCTACGTAATCGCCGAAAAGCAAACTGCGCAAGCAAATCCTTCAGAACAATAAATCTCCGGCTTTTGTTCTTACGGCTCTTTTTCAGATCGGCAAGGCCGCATTATGCTGCCAGCTCTAAGACGTTTTTATCTTCTTCAATTCTTCACTGTAATAATGGAGCGCCGGAGGTCCTAACCGTTTCTTCATTGCATTCTCATTGTGTGTAGATGGGTTTGTGTTCAATGGGAGACAGTGTCAGAATTTGTTTGTTTACCTAAAGTATAAAAATCATCATTCGAATACTCAGTTTCTAGAATTGTTAAAAACAATGGGAAGACAAATGTAATTCAGAAATATGTTTAAGAAGATTAATGGATAAAGCAACAGAGATTGTCCTATGCAATATCAACTAGACAGATATCAAAAGGGTCTTCTGTCTGAGGATTAGTGATACCAAATTTCCATATGTCCTAGACACTGTGTTAAATGATGACCTAATGCTGCTTTCCATACAATTTCGAGAATGCTTTCTATACTCAAGAACGTAACATCTAAAGCATTCGAGTCAGCAAGGAAAGCCTCTGCCGTATTACTAAAACAATATGTGGAACTTATTATTACAATTGTTTGAGATTCTGTTAATTAAAATTAGCCTTCAAAGACAATTGAACGTGACACCACACTGAATGCCAGTGTATCAACAGTGAACCACTCCGTATATCATTCGCATGACTTCCTCATTGCAGGCATGACTTTTTAAACACAATATACCATAGGCCCCTAGAATTAGACTCCATCGAAGTCCTCTTCATCCACAACACACCATTCATCCGCTCTCGAGACGGCCCGGAATACCAAAGATCTACCAGATTCGTCGTAAACACAGATTTATTAAAACTTCAGTAACATCGATTGGGTGGGCGAGTGGTAACGATAATAGTAATTAAAAAGTACTTCAAGGGAGCGCGGCGGCAGCGGCCGAGAAGGCGAGGGGCGCTGCGAACGCCACCGGGGACGAGTAGGTGGAGTAGTAGGCAACGGGTAATCCTTTAGCCTCGGAGAGAGTGATCACTCGTTGAGACCTAACCGGGATCTGCAGGGGGGCAGCTACAGCCCTGACGGGCGCTTCCTGGGCCTGTTGGGTTCTCTGTGGTCGTTCCTCCGTTTCAAGTCGCTGTTCAGGCCTTTGGCGTTGTTGAGCTTGTTGCTGGGCTTGCTGCTGTTGCGCCTGCTGGAAGTGCAGCCTGGATTGTTGCTGGAGCTGCTGAAGCTGGCGCAGTTGTTGCTGCTGCTGCTCTTGCTGTTGCCTCTCGATATCCTTCAGCTGCTGCAGTTGCTGCTCCTGCTGTTGTCTGAGCTGCTGCTCCCGGATGGGAGCGGAGCGCAGAGGTCCAGACCTAGCTTCCACCACCTCGACGTCAGAGTCCGGTCCGCTAGAGGGTATGGCAGGCGCTGGAGCAGCCGCGGCCGGTAAAACAGGTGACACTGCGGCCGGCGCTATTGCAGGTGCATATGGTACTACCGGCGCGGCGATGGCTGCCAGAGCGGTTGCCGGTTCACGGCTGACTACCGCGTTAAACCCGTTGATCGGGTCGGCAGTGTACTCGACGATGCGGCGGGTGCCGTCAGCTTCGATCAGACTGTAACTACCCTGAACGATGTCCCCGTTCCTGGTCTCGTACTGCGCCTTCGAGTCGCCTGTCACCGCGTCCTGCACGTCGTACGCGAAACTATACTGCGGCGCCGCGTCCAGCTCTTCGAGTTTCGCGGGTAACACCAACGGCGCCGCGGGTACCACCGCCCCCTTAGCGAAAACCGCCAAGCTTAAGAATACGATGAGCTGAAATTTGAAACAGGGTGTTTGGTTAGTGGATGGTCAATCCCAGTGCTGTATACCGTAAGTTAATGTTTAGTAAATAAGAAATTAGTAATCGTGAAATTGCAGACAAATGGACGTTATGGTACTAATTTATTTCTTTGAAGATTGAAGATGAACAGATTAAGATGTAATTAGAAATGTTTTGTTTACTGTAACTCAACGATTTACTGTTTGAGGGCTTTCATGAAACTTTTGTGATTTTTAGGCTGACGGTGTTAATCCTTGCAAAAATCTAAGGCGGCTATAAGAGAATTAATTTGAAGTAGAAAGCACCCAGTCTCCCAGAAGGATATAATGCAGAAGGTAGTGCCCATTATAAAAAAAAATAGAAAACAGTCAAAATATGTCTGAAAAGTTAAAATGCTTCGCACTGATTATTCTTTGCAACTATTTCAGGCTTTCCATTCTAATGGAACTTGGTTTACTCAAATAGTCCAAAATAAAAATTAACTTTTAAACCTAGACAAAGGACAATGACACCCATAGAGTAAATGCAAGCATTATGGAACAACCATTGCTAATTGTTTGCTAATAGAAATCCCACTTAGACGATTTTGCCCCATTGGCAAGCTTTTGAAACCGAGTGTTCCGTGTCACCAACTTTTATCCAATATGAGCGACGGCGCGATCAAGGTGTTAGCGTCCAAAGAGGCGCCATAGAAGCTTCCCCTAGCAATCACTGAGCCGCGGACTCACCTTTCCAGCCATGTTTGATTTGTGAGAGGATCGTCAGAGGACTGATGCCTCAGGGTAAGATTGCCCGTACTTTTATACGGCTGATGGCGGTTTTGTGTCATCCGTGAGCAACAAACGAAGCTATTCCTTGCACCCAAACCCGCTGCCGGGCACCCGTGGCTATCACACACGCGCAATCGCCCCCACTTGGTCCCCCCTTCTTTTGTTCTTTGTACCGTCCGGGCCCGGGTTGGGCCCGGCGCGGCGGAATCCTCTTTCTTTCTGTTGCCATCCGATGACCTCCTCATAAAAACGTTGCGATGGTACACGCGACACGGCGACCGATGAGTATACGCGCTTATGTTTCTTCATATCGGCCCGCCGCGCCGCGGCGTATACACGCGACCTGTATGCCAATATGTCGAAGATACATGTAGGAGCCGGCTCGAGGTCGTACGACGAAACCCAGCCTGAACCCTCCCTCTCGGTGGCCAAGTCCCCGTTGCCAAAAGTCCCCTGGTTGTTGCGCGATAGTTATCGATTAACATTTACATGCCGTCCGACAGCTTCACACTTAGGCAACCGGTGCGCCGGGATTAGGATACCGCCGTTAGCCTCTGCCCAAAAACGCATGTCACTGATAGCCGGTGCATACGAAATCGATTATTTCGAATAAGGGTGAAGATACTTGTAAAGGCGAAAAAGATGTTAAAACTTACTTTTTAATCGTTTTTAGTAATCTTAAGACATTGGTTTTTGATGGAACTGGTTCCGGTGACGGGCAAATGCCGCTGGCATCACAGTGGTAGCGTATTCGCAGTTATAATGCGAACGCCGACGGTATTTTTTTAATTTGGTAATAATTTTTTCACCTAAACGATTACGTTAATTGTTCTAGAAAAATATAAAAATACAACTTGCCTGTCTGTAGAACGTGTCTCTAATTTTTCTATAATTATGGTTGCAGAGAAACAAGAATTTCAACATCATTGACCGTCGCATTTCAAGCTATAAAGCCTACGGATTTGAAAAGTATGCTATTCGTTCCAGTCATAAAAGAATGTCGCAGAGAAATTACGTAGTTGTTTTACCGTTGAATGCTACCAAAACCAGATTTGTTATTTTTTATTGCTGTGCAATGTACGTTTGTCCTTGCCTGAATTCGGAGAATTTTCGTAAACAACTTGGTAGTGATATTCCAGGATCTGTGAAAAAACCGTCTGATTCTTGGTACCCTCACTTTTATTTCTGCATTTATGTTTACCTATATCTGTCGCTTATAAATACAATACATGTATAATATTTATTTATTTATATGTATTTATTTATTATTTGATAGTGAGTATGGTTCGCATCAACCAAAACAGACTGTCGCCGAGTTCAATGCCACAAACATGCGAGTTATATTCCGCAAGGTTATACAAGGTCACGCTTACTCGCATAGCTAAAAATTTGGAGAATTTGCTTTTATTAATTACTTGGTCCAATACCGTACAGTTTCTAAACAAAAAAATATTTCTGGATTTGCTGATTTCAAATTTCTGTAGAACCTAAAAACCATACTAATCGGCCACTGATCGACCACACGCATCTCTGTCGTACATCCAACATGGAGTACGACACATTTCATGTTACTGCCGCACTGCGATCAAACCGGATCGTGTTTTACGACGAGTCGGACACGCGCCGAGGATTATCTTGTCCAACAAAGTTGTACAACTCGTTGTACAATGAATCGTGACGCGTATGGACTCCTTAAGGGGTCGTGTTCACCGACCTGAGACAAATAAGATTTTTGGAAAGCGAAACATAAGCAGGTATACAAGGATAAATAGATTTTCAAGAATTTTTGGTAAAAAGGAAAGTAACTTTAATTTGTAAGGGGAGGTAGTTTTAATTTCAACTAGTCTGTCTTCAAGGAGTTACGTAGGGGTGAAGAGTTGAAATAAAACTGTCGATTAACTGTTTCAGGGATTATCGTGTATAAATTAGCCGCTTCGATCGCTGTGTGTCATAAACAATAGATTATGCCGTGCATAAGCGTGCCAATTCGTTAAAAATATCCGAGAAGTTTATGCAAGTTCAACAGTTTTCTGAAAAGCTGATAGCAGTGAGACTGTTGCGTCTACCATTCGGAAAATGGGGAAACGTTTCGGAGGATCAGTTTTGAAATTCGGAACGTATCGACAGCGTGGAAATATGGAGGTCGAGAAAAGAAAGAAAGGACATGATGACTGTGCACATGGAATTCACCGGCTTTCGTAATTTCGGCGACTAACCTCGGATGACTCCATTTGACGTATCGGCATACAAATTGACCGGTCACTTACGACTCGTCGTCATTTGAATTTCGGAGGCCGCGGGGAACGCTTCGGAGAAAATAAGCGGGAACGTGACAGTGATGAAACTATCGATTTCATCGCTGACTTCGATCAAGTATTCGTCTTCATCGGAAATTATAATCTGGTAATTTAGCTTTTCCTAACGCGGTTTCTTTTGTCATTCAAAACACAATGCAATGACTGAAAATTGTAATAACTGAAATTTAACTAACTTGGATTTCCATGGATTATTTTATATTATTTATTATTATTTTATTTTATTATTATTGATTGCAGTACATTCAGGATACGGGCCACAGCGTCGAATATTGATGGAGCGTTCGCATAAGTAGTATTGCTATCTATATGTCAGACGCGTGAAATTTACATAGCGTATACTAATATTAAATACTCTCTTATACTTAATAATATGATCTTGTGTGCTACAAAATGTCTACAACATAGGAAATGCACTGAATTATAAAAAAAAATATTACTTTTTACTTTATCTTCTACAGTTAATATAATAATTTAGGAAATAAGTAGAAAGTGTGGTTTCGGCGCTTTATTGATTTGAGTTTCAGAAGAACAATTTAATAAAGAATCTATTTCATTATTTGTTTAAATTAATGCCAATGTAATTTATTTTTCTTTATATTACTAACATCTTAAAGAAATCAGTGATCTTTAGAAGATAATGGTAATACTATTATTTTACATTCTAATTATTTTATTCTTATTTGAAAATGGACTTTATTTAAAAACGCGACTAATGTTTATACAAATGAACGACTAATTTCTAATTCGTCTCGCTTTTGGATCGCGCATCGGTATTGTGAAACGATTACAGCGAAGACCAGTATTTGCAGTCGATCCATTCTTCCCTCTACTTGTTATGCGCGACGAACGTGCCACGTGTTGCATTAATTGAAATGAATTTGTGTTCGCTGGATGCATTTAAATGGCTCGCCTATCTGTCACATAGAAAAACGCGTTCTACTTCCACTTTCCTTCACTTTTATCCACCATTACTTTGATTTTGAAAATCAAACAGTCATCTTTTATTTCGTTATTAAATATTTCAAGATCACTGCCAGGTCATAAACCTTAAGGCTATAACATCTCTCAATGATTTCAAAATGCAGAATGATAAACTAGAATAAACTACGATCGAATGAATTTATTATTTAGAAATTATTATCATTAATTATGATATTAATTGAACTGATTCTCGATAATTTATATTGTGCCAAATAATATTCAGGCTTTCAACATTTCTACGTGTTGCACATTGCACACATACAAGATGATCTAACTAACACTAAAATGTCTCACCGATTGTTTCGCATTAAGCATAAACTTGCAACGTTAAAAACTGTACATTTCTACAACAATTCTCTTATAATTGGCATAACCATGTTTCAAGAGAATCGACAAGATATTTCATTCTACATAAGTTTACTACACCATTTCTGTAATTCTTCGTTGCAGTTGGAAGCTATGATTAATAAAAGACAGCGCATATGGAATTGTATAAAAGTCTTTAATATAAACATTTGATTGCAGTATGTACAATGTGAGATGACTAGTTGTATAAAGAAGATCGGTCTACACAAGCGAGCAACTATACACAACTGTTTCGCATAATCGTTAAATTACAAAGATCTGCCACGATGATGATGAACATGAAGGTTCTTGAGAAGTTAGCGAGCGCACGTTTCGGTAGTTCCCTAAGGAAGGAACGCCAGGGGAGCGACCTTGACAGCGGGCTTGATGACAGCGACCGGCTCCCTGTGTACCACGGCGTTGAACCCGTTCACGGGGTCAGCGGTGTACTCGACGATCCTCCTTGTGCCATCAGCCTCGATGAAGCTGTAACTGCCGCTGACAACGTCACCGTTCCTGCTCTCGTGCTGGCTCTTCGAGTCCCCGGTCAAGCTATCTTGCACATCGTAGGCATAGGTGTATTGAGGATGGGGGTCATAGTTCAGACCAGGGTCTACAGCCGCCAGTTTGGCCACTGGTGGCAGAGCTGGCACTGCCACTGGAATTGCGGCGCCATTGCACGTGGCCAATACGGCGATTGCCATTACGATGATTACCTGCAATTCAATTTTTATTTAATTTGGCTGCTAAATCGTTTGTAAAAATCTATACTGATATAATAATATCAGTATAGATTCAGTATATAATGATATCATTTAATAATATTGTGCGTTGTTGTTATCGTTGAAGAGTGGATCAATAAGCTGAATGTTAACTGTTAATCATTTTCGACGAACTATTACATTTTCTTCAATTGCACTATTTACACGTCTTTCTCAATCTAATTTGCTTATCCTACTTCTTCTATCATGTATACGCGCACGGCTTTTCTATCCTGGATCTCTTCCTCCGGTTGCTCTTCTTCCACTGTCATTTCTTTTACTATTACATTCTCCGCTTTTTCTCTACTTTCTTCCACTCTTATCCCTCCGCCTCAATTATTTCGAGGAACTATGAAATAACTGCTTCTATTTCTCACCTTGACAGCCATGTCGATTAAGTCTGCGAACGATCTCGTGGTTGAAAGCCGAGAATGAAACTGACTGTTCGATTTCGAGTGACAAACGTATTTATAGGGACCACAGGGTGATCATTCGTTGTACGTGAACCGATGCTCGCCACAGCCCCCGATGCATCGCAAACAGTTTTTCGAAGGCGCGTACGTGACACGCTTCTGTTCCCCGCAGCAAAAGTTTCGCTCTCGTTCGAAACGGAACTCGACTACCGGGCTTATCGAGATGAACGAGTGTGATAGCCTTAAATAATTGAAAATAAATTGTTGCTCTACAATAATTAAATATAATTTGAGATATGTAAACTGCTTATCAACTTCAACAGAAACTCAGACTGTCAATTATAAATACTTCCTGGAACACTCTCCATCCTCCATTTTTTAAATTGATCGGCTCGTCATTAAAATATGGTGTAATCGATCATAACTGATGATGGTACCCCTTAAAAGAGAACACAGTATCGCTGAGGCCACGGATCTGCTGATTATGATTACACCGGTCGCTTCCAAAAAGTAGCAAGGATTACAAAACATAAAATATGAAGGAAAACATGATAAAGCCGGTCAATAATTCTTCTAGCTTACCATTTGTTGTGCTTTCACCGTTGCGTAATTCAGTGCGGTTTTAGTTCCAGCAGTAAGTGTAACGTTTCCGTCATGCGAGCACACGGTGCGAAGAATACTAATGGCTACTAAGTCGAGACGCGCTGTTCTGGATTCCTTGCATTTCGCTTTTAAATTTGGAATTCCGTATCCGGTTTTGATCATATTTTAATACCAATTACGCGTGACATCGTATCAGGTTACGTAATAATAAAATATATGATTAAGAAAGTCTCGTTTATTAATACATATATTACAAAGTTTCATTTAGCACTACATAATTCTACTAGTAACATATTTTAAGCATTCTTAATTTCATTCTTGTCTCATTTTGAGTTCATAAAAGAAGTATACACAGTATACAAAGACATGTGTACAAGTTTGTTCCTCTTGCTTATAGTATAAGCTTATCCTAGAATTAGCTTATAATATAAGACTATAAACTCAAAATAATGTTAAAAAAAGTAAAAACTATTTCCTCTTAAAATAACTAATAATACAATTGTTATTTAAATTTATAAACTTACTTTTACAAGTTTTTGTTCATCGATTAGTAAAAATGTTTGTTTATTACAGTAGATCACACTCATTACTTGTTAGCTGCTAAGATGAATATCTATTTAATGGAAATAATTTTTAAGTAATAATTTTTGTATATAC